GGGATTCTAAGCCCTAAAACATTGTGATGAAACAGAGCTCTGTGCACTGCCCCAGCCAACCCTGCTGTTCAACACCCTGTCAATCATCACAAAAAATACATCATAAGCAAAGGAGAAAGTCACACCTGAGCAGTAAATAGCCACCCCAGGCTTTCATGGTGCTGCTGGCAGCCTATTTGCCAGCATCTGGCCTGGCAATCCTTCACTGTACAGCCCTCGCTCTGACTAATACAAATCACTTGTACACAAGTGCAGCAGAAACAAGCCCACAGCAACTAATTCATCAAACCTTAAAGAAAAATTAAGAGGGGAAAACGTAGATCTGAATGTCAAAGTACCATTTCATTGTTAGCCTGTGTGAAAAAATAGAGACCAACAACTGCTGTCTTCTTGGCAAATCTGAATGTGACCAGAGAACTGATGTCCCCTTCTATCCAATTGTTCTGGTAAACTGAGAGGTAACAATTGATTTTTATGAAAAAAATCTTAAGAAAAGCCAACACAGATTTGACAACCCTACTCTCAATACTCGATAATTTTGTCTCAAGGTGGAAAGCCACATCAGCATGACAGTAAATTGTTTCTGTGCATTTGAACAGCTTGGTTCTGACTGGTAACTAAATAAAGATAGACAATGCCTGATTGACAGAGTTTTTCAATTTTTATATCTCCAGGAATGCCACACGAGGCATACACAAGTGTCCACAATAATATGAGGGCTAAGAGAACTGTAATAGATAGCCAGATTCAAAAATCCTTGGGACACCAGATGACTTATGCATTATATTACAATAAATTGTCTCTGAAATTGTGGCATGCTGCTTTGGGGAAGGAACACTTCAGTGTCCTCCCAGAAACAGAACTTTTATTATTCTAAATTGCTCTAATTAGCACGCTTCAGGGCCCTCTGGCTATAGCTATTAGCTTTCCAACACAGCACAACATTCTCCAGGCAACAAGATGGTTACAAAATACACCCTTCAAACTTGTTAGCAAAAGGCTATGGGAACTCAAAAGTACTTTTTATAATCAGAGCAAGATGTATTATTCCATATTTTCAGCCTAAGGAGAAACCAGGCAGAATTCATTCACTCTTGGGAGAGTTTTCTTAAAATGTTTATATTAAAAATGATAAATTCTGAATGTATAGATATACTATTTTAGTACTGCTCTAATTAAAAGCAAATAAGGTTGTCTCCCTACACATACACATCCCAACCTGCATTTCAGGATTAAAAGCTTCTGAATTCAAGTAATGATTTAATCTTTATTGTCCTGTGTCTGAAATGGACCCATGGAGTATCAGATCCTCAGTCTTGATAACCCTTACAAAAGAAAAATTGCTATTATTTTATACACAAGGATCAGTCCCTTAATTTGCCACTAGGCATCTTCCCAGGGTGGACTATGGAACACTGTGTCTGTGTGGTCTGATCTGTGATCTTTTCTAAAGGGCAGAGGTACTAATGTTTGTCTTCACTGCTATATAGTTCAGTAAGTCTTACAGCTACATTAATATTTTTTTTAAAATTTGATTTAGGCATTTCCTGGTTACTGGCCTGAAAGGTCACTGCTAGAATATTTACACAGATATTTTTGGTGGTTCCACCCCCAACCCAAGTTTGCTCCCACCACAGCTCAATATTTGGTTCTGGCTGGGGTATAACATTTGATTGGAAAAGATACCATAGCCTCTTCTTTTGCCCTCAAAACATTAAGAATAAAGTTAATATTTGAAACACAATTGTAATGACATTCTCTTTGCTGCTTGAATATCAAGAAACTTCCTCTTAGCATTAGGTCTCTGAACAAGGTTTAGGGGTTTTTTTTAGAGAAATACATATGCCTTAATTTTTCATTTATGTTTTCAAGCACAGATCTTACACTTGTGGCATTGTTCATCTTGAAGAATTAGGTTTTTTTTTTTTTACCGCAAGTGCAATATTAATAATAAGAGACTTATTCAATTGATATTCTGAATTTTCAAATTATCACAGAGACTCCCTACTGCTCACTACACAACTTTCTTGTAAGGTACTGAAAGATTACTGCCCTTAATTGTAGTTGTAGAAATGTAGAAATGAGGTTAAGTAACTGCCCAAGACCACAAAGTTAATCACTAGAGGAAATGGGAATGTTATCCTGACTATTTCATTCTATCACTAGCTCAGAGAAATTAGAGGTTAGAATCACTTTCAAACCACAAGCTGAAAAATAGCAGCTGGTTCATAGAATCACAGAATGTTCCGAGTATGAAGGGACCCACAAGAATCATTGAGTTCAAATCTTAAGTGAATGACCTCTCCAGGGATGATAGTTGACTGTTTAGCAGAATACATGCTAGTTTTCCTCAATTCATATTCAAATTCAGCATTTGTGTGAAGAACTAAACATCATTTTATAGGGAGAAGACTGGATGAGAAAAAACTGTGCTTGTTCCTGAACACTGTGACAGCCAACCAGGTCCAGCAACAGTGCCTGAACACTCAGTAGCTGAGTTTAAAAACACCCAGCTCCTGAGCTGACCCTGCAATAAATCCAGAACAACCTGCAATAGCCTGAGTAAAAAACAAGACATGAAAAAGTCTTGAGTGGGATAGTACTTACAGCCAACATCATCCACGATGCAAACAAGCTCCAGTATGTTCAAGCTCATTGCATGTTCTCCTTCTGAAGCTGCAGATGTTGTTTAGTCTTGACCCATCAGCATCTAAGCCAGCTGCAGGTTTTTCATGGCAGCTGTTTAACTTGCACAACTCACAACAAAATGCATTTTTACTGTCCCTTATCTTGAAAGGTTACTTGCAGAAGGCCAGTAAAATGTCATCTGGGGTAAATGGCTTCTAATACAAGAAGAAAATTGTTCCAGATATATAAAGTCTAATATATATCCTCAGTTATTGAGATATGTTGGCAGTGGATTCTTCTCAACCTTTTGTTATAAATTCTGTGATTTTGTGATCAATCATTAATCAAGCACAACTTCCAAAGGTGTGGGCAGCAAAGAAATGGAGACAAGCTGAAACAGGAATCTACATCCAAAGATTGGGGGGGAACAACTGACAAGAAATTTGAAACAGACATACTACTTGTCTAGGTTTTGTAAAGAACAATCTTTACAGGAAACATTTCAAAAACATCAGACCTACAGATCCAATTGCCTTCTCTGTTTCATTTCTTCATGGCTTTCTGTGGATATCATCCTTTACGTTCTTTGTTTTCTCCTTGCTCTCTCTTATTCATTCTCACCATTATCTTAACAAATTCCTTCAATTATTTCTTTCAGTATTTCTGAGGATAAAGCTTGAAATTTGTGGCTCATCAACTTTCTGGAAAGCAGATACCTACCACCACTCACTCCATGTAAACAGGAGATGGCACACTCTTGGCTGTGTTCTGCACAGGCAAGCCACAGGAATGTACCAGTGTCACATCACAGAACAGCCATCAGCAAAATAAGGCTCAGTAGTGCAGGCGGATGGATTGCAGGAGGATAGAAATAGTGCTGAAGGCAATCTTACCCCTGAGGAGTTGCAGCTGTACTAATTACCACAGAATAGGAACAGACTTGCCTTTAATAGGTCACAGGTGTGTCCAATAAAGATAGTCCCATAAGGATGGGTGTTATAAAAGAGTGGGTCAGCTGGCAGAGAGAATTGGAGTTGGTTGGCTGTGCTGCTGTGTGTAGCAAGGGTCAGGTGTTCATGATAGGGACAGGAAGGGTTAATATGTGCTACTAGGGATAGAAAGGGTTAGGTGGTCATGATAGGGACAGGTAGAAGTCAGCCAGCTATGTGGAAGAAAGCGAAAAGGAGTCAGTGCTGTGAGGAGATGCCAGTGAGAACTCACAGGGAGAAGATATGAAAGTCTTACAGTAAGAGAATAAACTAGCAGTGACAGTCAGTTCCCATCCACTGTCGATTGGTGCCAAGCACTGATGCTGACAACTGGTGGCTCGTACAGGGATGAGTTACAACACAGTGGGATCTAAACTTGCCATGGTGTGAGGCCACTGACCTGTACCGTTTATCCTGCTTTCCACGTAGGCTGTGCACAGCCCAACCCAGGCAAACCCATCTGCTGAGTAAAGGCCACGTCAGAGCCCCGGTGCGCTCCCGCAAAGTTCCACTGTACTGAGCAAGGTCCCATGGGATTCTCATGCAGCAAGCCAAAAACGTCTTCTACACCTTCTTTTTCAGCATGCAGTTTTTCATTTGAATATAACATCTACTAAATTTGCATTATGGATTTTGTGTCTTTGTCATTCAGATTTCATTTGGAGAGTGCACAAATGCAAGCAGGAACCAGGCTAACAGCTGGTGTTAGGCATCTGTGCATAATCTACACTCAGCCTCACAGCTCTACAATACATATGTGACCCTGATTTTTCCCCCCCTCCCCTTTAAAAGGATATTGACAAAGCAACTGAGGAACTGCCCGAGTTCAGCTATCCCAGCATCACGGAGCAGGGCTCCCATAGCCTCCAGTTACACAGGACACTTGCACAAACAGCTTGCACAAGCAGGCGGCCAAAGCTGGAACTAGTGGATTAGCAACATTACCCCATTTAACGGAAGCTTAAGATTTCATTAAATGAAAAGACTGTCCAGCAAGAGTATACACAGCAGTTACAGCGAGCGCGTGTGAGTGGAAACCTCTGTGTGGAGATGTGCGAATTGCTGACGGGTGCTACAACGTGTTATTGGTAACGGGGTTATCCAGCAATTAAAATGAGCTAAAAATCTTCAAACTTTTCCAATCACAGCTGAAATAGGAGCGACACCCACAGCACAGCGACCCGCCCCGGCCCGCCACCAGACAAAATGGCGGCCCCGCCCGCCGCGCGTCACGGTGGGGCGAGGCGCGCGCGCCCCTCTGGGCGCTCCGCCGCGCCCCGGAACAGCCGCGTGTTCGGCCGGGGCGGCGCGGCCGCGCTGCTGATTGGCTCCCGTCCGCGTCACTCCCGGCCCGCCCGCTCGCTGATTGGCGGGGCTCGGGGGGCGGGCGGAGGCGGCCGGCGGGCAGGAAGGCGCCATGGCGGCTGTGGCCCAGTGCGTGCGGGGTGCGCTGCGCCCGCGCCTCCCGCTGCTGAGCGTCGCGCTGAGGTGAGGGGGTCGCGCTGAGGTCTGAGGTGAGGGGGTCGCGCCGCGCCGCTCGCCCGACACCGGGCATTGTGGCCGGGGCCGCGCTCACGCCGGGCCGGGAGGAGAGTGGGGCTCGGTCCCGCCGCGCTGGGGTCCCGAGCCCTGGGGAGCCCCGTCCGACAGCCGGGACGGGCCGGGGCCGCCCCCCGGCCCCCGCCGCTCCTCGCCGCGCTCCCGCGCCCTTCTCCGGGAGAGCGGCCCGGCTGCGCCCGGCGCTGCGGGGAGCAGCAGGCTCCAGGCCCGCGGTGTCGCTCGGCGGGCGGGGATACGAGCCCCGAGTGAGCGCGGCGCTGGTCCCGCAGCCCCGTCAGGGCCGGCTCGGCCTCGGCAGCCGGGCAGGGACGGAGATCGCTGTTCGGGCGGCACCCCCGCGCCCGCCGCCGTGCTCGCCGTGCGCCGGGACGGGCGGCCCGGGGCAGCCGCTCCAGCGGCCAGGCGCTGGGCTGCGCCTGTGCTTTTAGGGAGGCTGTTGCCGGCGATTGCATCACGGAATTTGTTTCTTGCTAGAGCACAGGGCTAAAAACGCCTACTCACTCCCCTTTAAAGTTCTGTGGCTGTAAACTGAATGTAGTTTACACTGCGCTTAAAAGCTGATATCTTGCATCAGGTTATTTACTGCTGCAGTTTAAATGGTCGGAGATCTGCTGCTTCTGACGCAGGGCTCTGCACGCAGTATTCACAGGCTTAGAATTGTATGAATTCGTGCTTTGATGTGAGAATTTTGTGGATGTTATGCATCAAAGAGTCCTTTATATCTAGAAAATGCTGATATCTTACAAAATAAGCAACAGAATAATAATGTCCATCTTTTTGCCCTAGAACATCTCCACGACTGCTTTGTGTAGCAACACAGCAGAAAAATACTGGCCAGAACTTGGAAGATGACCAGAGTCAGAGCCAAAATGAACAGAAGGTGGAACCCAGCTCTGCTGAAAAACTGCTAGCTGAAGAAAAGGCCAAACTGGAAGAACAACTAAAAGAAGTTACTGTAAGTGATTCCTGTATAAAATCCACAATTTGATCATTTCTTTGAACTTAAGAGTACATGTGCTACAAGATGTGGGATGCATCCCTGGTTCAGAATTAAGATTTTAATTTCCTTCCAGTTTCTGGATGGAATTGGACATCTTCCAGCTAGAAAATTTGTTACTGATTTTCACATAGGTTTTGCTCAGTGGAGAAGTAATTTCTGGGAGCCATGGAAGGGTGTTACTGTGTCTCTGGTGTGTGCATTTGTGTGTGTTAACAGTAGACTTCATGGAAACAGCTGCTGACTTGCCAAAGGTCAGAGTTAATGGTGCTTAGCTTTTGTACAATAGTGTACTTAGGCCATAGTTAGAAAGTTTCAAACCTTTTCTGTTGGAGAGCCCTTCAGGCTCAAGGCTGAAGCGTCACATTCCTTCTGTGTGGCCTTGTGTATCTTGTTTTCTCTCCTGGGCACAACTCCAGCAGCTGAAGGATGCCCTGGGAGATATTAATGAGTGCTTTATGTAAAATGTCTTTCTGATATTTGAGACTTCAAGAGGTAGCCCAGAACCTTCTATAGAACCAGCACCTGTGGATCATATGTGGATTGAGTTTGCTTTCTGTTGCCCTTCCCAAAGCTCTACAGGAAAGGTTTTAGATATTATTTAATATTTTTGTTTGCTGTTGGTTGCTTAATGCAGCTCTTCAGGCAGTTTGTTGACTGTTTTTATTCTGTTTTGAGATTCTCCACTGGCATACAAAGCTCAAGCATATTCAGGGTGGAAGCCATTTGGAGTTAGTTGGTAAAGCACTCAGTGTGAATTTTTATTTTATTAATTTTACCATATTTCACATTGTAGTACATCTGCTAGTAAATGGCCACATTTCTAGGAATAGACCAAAACTTGGCCTAAACAACAGAGGAGTTAGGCTTCCTGATTTGTAAGGGCTGAGAAAACTGGAAGGCACTCTGTGTTATGCATGGTGTGGGAAGAGATGGTTTGAAAGTCATGGCTGGGTTGACTCTGATTTGCTGTAGTGTCAGTGTACCTCATGTCTGATAAAGGATTTCTGGAAGCACATAGCAGAAAAAGCAGAAATACTGGATTCATAGAACATTATATATCTATAGAGTGAAATTTTTTTTCCAGCTAATCTGTTGAAAAGTATTAAGAGTTTGGAAAACCATCTGATTTCCTTTCCCTCATTTCTGACGTTGTGAAGTGAAGCAAGCTTTTCTCTTGGTAGGAGGGGTGGTGTGATAATTTCAGATTACCCTAAATGATAGATTTAGGGTATAAAACTGTTTAAAATGCTATTTTATACTGAATATGCTGAATTATTGTCAGCTGCCTGACTAGGAGGAATAATTTCTGTTACTGATTTTTCTTCTTTAGGAGAAGTACAAGCGTGCCTTGGCAGATGCAGAAAACGTGAGGCAAAGAAGCCAGAAACTGGTAGAAGAGGCAAAGTTATACGGTCAGTGGAGGCTCCTCTGGTGTTTGCTCAGTAAGACCCAGGAAATGCAGATCCTGGAAAAGTGGAGCTGACTGGCCTTGCAGTATTGACAAGTTGTACTTCCCAGTGATTCTGACTACTCACTTAAATAATGCATTTGAGGCAGAGCGGTTTGAACAGTTCCTCAACTTGCATCAGAATTGTGACCATCTCCCTAGCCAAGGGCAAGACTTAAACTGCTGAAGTCAACAGCTGACATTTTCTCTAAATTTGGTATCTGGTTTCCTACAATGAATTCATAGATATTTTTTTAGTAAGTTTTGCAGCCTGAAGTTTGTCTTTTTCACGTATTTTGGTCTCAGATCTAAGCAAGAACATGAAATATTGGTTCTGGTTTGGGTTTCTGGCTGTTTTGTTTTTATTTTTGTTTTAGTTTGGTTTTTTTGGGGGAGGGAGCTATTTAGTTTTTGGGGACTTTTTTTGTGGGGTTGGTTGGTTTTTTGGGGTTGGTTGAGATTTTTTGTTTTGGTTTCTTGGTTGGTTGGGAGTTTTGTAGTTTTGGGGGGTTTTGTTGTTGTTTTTTGTTCTTAGTGTTTGTTTTGAATTTGGTTCTTTTTTGATTTTGGGATACTTTTCTGAGTTTTTTTTTAGTCTTTTACAGTTGAATAACTGTTCTGTTGAAGACGATACCTTTCAAATAGAAGTAATACCTCTGAATGATTGGATTCTTTTCAGTGCTAGAAAAGCACAATCACTGGCTATGAGAAGTGCGAGAAGCACATCTTCCTTCAAGAGCCAGGCTAGTAGCATCTGATTTAGCTTTTTGACATTTGCAACACAAATCTGTAAAACAGAAACTGTGTGTAGATGCTGCAGCAGCAGAGTGCTGTTTTATCCTGGTGTTTGACTGCCATTCTGCCTCGAAAAATGAGTTGCTCTTTTTCACTGTCCACCATACAGAGCTGCATAGTTTAATTCTCAGTATTCTAGTTTCTGAGAACAGGGTCTTCAGTTAATGTGTACTGTAAGAAAAGTACATAGTACTCTTGCATTCTTTTTCATGGATGTTTGAGTGCTCCATCCTGATGTTGATTTGCAGTAAGCATTGTTTCACTAATGTTCTACTTTCTGCAAAGGACTTGGAGTCATGTCTAAGCTCAGAGGTGCTACAATGGAAATTAATTTATCTTGAAAATTAGATAACATATAATCTGTACATTTTATTGCTTGTGCATGACTGCTTGTTCTGTTGAAAAAAGAGAAACTCCTTTCTGAGACTTGCATAAATTCTGAGTTGCAGTCACAGATATTTGCAAATAGAACGTACACAATAAAAAACTGAACCAAACCACTTTCTGAATAGTTTGGTTATTTGGTTTGATCCAGATAACTGGGCAGTTTATTTATCTATATGTGGTACAGTTCAGCCCCAACTACAGCTCTAGTTTTTAGTTTAAAACTGTTATTTTCAGATTTTTGGAACTATTTGGACACTGTTAGTTACTGTTCTGTAAAGAGCTTGAGTCTCTACAGAGTTGTGCAGTTAGAGAAACCCTTTCCTGAGAACTTCCTGACCCCCACAGATCTTGCAAGGTGCTTCTAAAGTTGTGGGGTGTTTTTGTTTAAACCAAAGATGTGGCCTCCGGTAATAGTCATATCACTTCTTGGTAAGGAAATTAAAAACCATCCAGGATGTGAGCTAGAATTAAAAAGGCTAACTCCACCTTAACAAGAAAAAAAAAAAAACCCAAAAAAACCCAGTGTTGTTTGTCCTTTGCTTACCTCTATATAGAAATGTGTTAATTTATTGAACTGTTTTAATTTTTTCTCGATTGCTAATGCCTTAAGTGAGAGTCATCCAGATTCTCTTAGTGTGAGCCAGAGAACAGCTTCAGGACAAGGACTGTGATTAATTTGGAAATTGCTCAGTATTTGCAAAGCACAGCTGCCGATTTTGTAAAAAGAGGTTTGTAGTGGGAGGGAGAGGTGCAAATTATTTTCATTCAAGGAAGAATCCTTGTTTATGTCTTGAAATCATCGGTCTGATTACATACTTTCTCTTCTGTAAATTTTTTTATGACATCAGATTAAAGGGTAGGACTAGGGCAATGTAATGCTTTGAACGTTAGGTGACGAGAGAGACATGAGGAAACTACTTGAAGCCATCTGAAGGTTTTGGTAACTTTGGTAAGAATTCTGTTATTGTTAGGTCATTAGCCTAACTTAACTCTGATCTGAGTTGAAATCACTTTTTTTTCCTCCATAGAAGTAGAGGAGATGGTGTGGATTTCAAGTTATCTGTAATAGTTCTTTATTCTTATCCAAAACTGGAAAGAATATTTTATTCCAAATGATTACAGTATAACATACATTCTTAAAAGCCAAAGAGTGCAAATTATTGCTGTAGCTTTTGGGGTTGTGAGGTCGGGGGTTTTTAACATTTGTTTCTCTCAGTGGACTAATCCCATTCTCTTCTACTCTATACATTTTCAGGGATCCAGAGCTTCTGTAAGGACTTACTAGAAGTTGCAGACATTTTGGAGAAAGCAACAGAAAGCGTACCAAAAGAAGAAATTAAAGATGAAAATCCTCACTTGAAGAGCTTATACGAAGGTCTTGTCATGACAGAAATGCAGATTCAGAAAGTGTTTAAAAAGCATGGCCTGCTCAGACTGAACCCTGTCGGAGCCAAGTTCGACCCCTACGAGCACGAAGCGCTGTTCCACACGGCCGTGGAGGGGCAGGAGCCCGGCACCATCGCGCTGGTTTCCAAGATCGGCTACAAGCTGCACGGGCGCACGCTGCGGCCCGCCCTGGTGGGGGTTGTGAAGGACGCTTAGCTGCTCAAGCTGAGAGTTCCAAATGCCATACAACTATTAAACAGCTGGATGGTTTTCCTCTCACACCGTGCTTCCCTTGTTCCTCTGCCCCGAGAGGTTTAAATGAGTTGGTTGAGGTCTCCCAGTGAAAATGAAGTAACCGATGAAAATCTCCTGCTTAGTGGCCTTCCACATCACTGTTCCATAAGCTCTTCTTCAGTGTGAACTACATGAGCCATTAAGCCCTCTAATGCTTTAGATTAGACAATGTTTTTTACAACTATTGCTCCTGAGACGGTGAATTAAATTGAAAAGAATGAGATGCTCACTAGAATGGTGCAATTTGAAGTTTATCACCGTGTGTAGATTTAAAATGCAGATAGTGGTTCAAACACTTCCTTTGGCTTTGTAAAATCTCACATTGCAGAAGTGGGTGATGTAGTACAAATAACCTACCTTCTGCAAGCACCCATCAGCTTTTACACACTGATGCGATAAATGGCCTGTTTTGTCTATTCAAAAATAATCTCAACAAATGAAACTGAAACCCGTGTGAATTCTGAACTGTAAATAAATAGCAGTGGAGATTAGATATCTTTTGTAACTGTTCAACCTTTTTGTCCTGTACTGACATTGAATCAAGAAAACCATCTAATATTTGTATGGCATTGAAGAACCAATGGAATTTATCCTATCTCTGGATTTTTAATTTAATGTTATATAAATTGGTTTAAACAATTTTTATAGTCTTATAACTTCCAGCTTTGCAATCAGTTTGTTACGCAAACTGTAGTTACAATCCTGATGAGAGCCAGAACACCCAAAGTGAGTTGCTGAGAGTTTGGTATATGATTTCTTTTAGAGTTACATAAATAACTGCATGTAAGTGGCTCAAACAAAAGTGTGAACTTAGTTTCATTTTCTTTATTTCTTACATGTACTCAGCTTGGATATTAGGTTGCACCAGAATTTTTCTCCATGCAGCTCTTGCCCTGTCTAACTGCACCTGCTGCTCCAAATCCTGCAGAATCAGGATAAAATACAGTACACGATTTGTCACCTGGATAGGAGTGGGTGGAACCTGGCAAATTACACAACTGACAAAGGATCTATGCTCTTGTATTCTGAAAGCTCATATTAACACACAGGACAGAATCTTCAAACTTAGGAAGTTATTAGGTCCTGTAAAAAGTAAGTACTTAAGAATTTTTTACTACGTTTCTGGTTATTGTGGATTAAGGAGCTTCTTACCTTAAAATCAGGTATTGATTATATTTTTTGTGGTTCAGATACAGAGTTGCCAGGAGCTTACTGAATGCTGGACCTACTCATGGTGAGAGGTGATTACTCATTCCTAAAGACATTTTTCCCAATGCTGGGTTGTCATGGGAATTAAACAGTTAACCAGGAACAGCCTAAGTGCATAAAACTGAGGGTTAGTCATGTTAATCATATTTAAGGATTCATTCTTTATCAACCATGTGAAAGAATGCTTCAACTGTGCAGAGGAAGGAGAATAATTTTTGGATGTGTGAAGACAACTACAATGCCAGTTTTTTTAAACTAATCAAGTACAGGGGGAAAAATGCAAAGATCAAGTTTAAAAATAAATTGGGAGAAAAGGGGATTTCATATACTGAAGTTGAATTTGGAAGTCTCTTTCCTCCCTGTGGGTTTAAGAGCACACTGTAGTTGTGTGAAGTATGATTGAAGAAACAGTTTTGTTGCACTTTGATTAGAACCTGTTCTCATAACTGATCTCAAAAAAAGGGACCAGGTTCTATTTTATATACCTTTAAAGAATTGTCATGCGTTATGTCCCCCTCAGTCCCTCTGAATCTAAACTAAATGTAATAATAATGTCCTTAGTATAGAAGTTTTTGTAATAGAGAGTTAAAGGGACACATTGTTCCCCAGCAGATGATTTTGTTAATGAGTTTCCCAATGCTTCACACAAACTATAATTTTTGGGCTACATCACTTAATTTGGGGTGTTCTTAAGCACAAGCTCCTGTTAAATGTTCAGCACAAGAGTAATCTTTAAAGCTGCTGAGTTTCATTTAAGTGGTTGCCCTTCCCTGGGTTACTCTTAGAAAGGATTTGGCTGGGAGTGGGTCAGTCTGGAGAGCTCCAATCACCAGTGCACTTTGCCATAGCGCAGGGAGGCGCACTGAAGAAATCAAGGAACAGAGGAAAGGCTGAAATTTAAGCACCTGACAAAGCTCTGGCCTGTACTAGCTATCTCATACACTACATTTCCACCCATCACACTTAGCTGCAATGCATCTCCAGTTATTAATACAAAGACTTAAGCCATTTTCCTCACTGCCCAAGCTACATTATTGTTAAATCAATTGTGGAAAGAAACTTTAATACAAGTTTATTTGCCAATACACAATGCAAAAATCTAGTAAAATGCTGTGTGCACAACATCAGTTAGGCTTTGTGTCATTTCAGCACAGGCGTTTGTGTGTCTGGCACAGCTACAAATGTAAACTTCAAATGAATGCAACATTCCCTTTAAGGAAGAAAGGAGCTGATGAGCTGAACATGCTCATGAAGTATCTTACTTCACAGTATTTAATGTGCCATCACTTAGGAGTGACTGAGGCACAGGCAGAAACATTTTGTGAGAAGAGTAAGCCAGAAGGTTCATGAAACCTGTTCCAGTTGCAAAGGAATCGAATGCAGCAGCCACATGAGAATAACGGCAGAGTGCATAGTCTGGGTGATTTCCAAGGCAGTTCTGGTCACAGACTAGTGCAAACCCACAAAGACTGTCCTCACTGCCTGCTGGGCCTGCCATGAGCAGGGGGCAGGAGGGGCTGGGGCCAGAACACTGCAGCATCCCAGCCCAGTGCTGGGCAGTGCCGTGGAGCGAGATGAGGCTCCCTCCAACACAGCGCTGGGATGGGACTCGCAGCACAGCCCTGCCCAGAGCACGGGATTAGTATTTGCAGCAGCTGAGAGAGTGTTGCTTTTTCATAGGCTTACATCAATGCTGTTAAGACAGATTTTATCATTAGTAATAACTTTAATTAAAAAAGGCAAGAGCATTCAGCATATAAAACACTTTGTCATTAGCAACATGAAGGCTGCATTATTTGTACAGTACAGGAAGCACTTCCAGATCAACACAAAATACAAGTTGAAAGAGCTCTTTGCCATCTCAGCCCCTTTACCACAGAAGAGAAGCAGCATAGCTGTAATAAATTGCTGGATTAACATTAACTGCATCTCAATTTATAAGCGATCAAACAGAAAACCAGAAGCTCATAACAAAGGAATGCTTAGACTAAATCAGTTCCATGTGAAATATGGAACAGCAGCATCCTCTAGTGCAAGTCACCTTTAAAATTAAAAGCATAGCTGACAATGAGACACTGCTTCTAGGGAAGCCCATTCCAAGGGACTAATATTTGCTAAAGCAAATATTTACCACCTTTAGTTAGCTTGCAAATACAAAATAAATATTGATATCCATATTGCATACATTAAAAATACTTTTATTTTACATTCATTTTGATGTTCAATAAGTTACATCTAGCACCAAAGAAACGTTTTTGGAGGGGTTGAGGAATTAAGAAACTACAAAGTGTAAATGCAGAATTAATTTCAACATTTAAATGACTCATTGGTGCCTAGATTTTTTCCTAAGTTATTGTTCAGATGGGCTTTACAGTATTGCTTCAGTTTAACTTAGATGTGCCAAAACAGTGTAGAAACGAGACAATTACAGATTTGAGGAAAAAAAAACCCAGAAGAACCAAAACAAATCCCTTAAACTCCCAGCCACATGCAGAATTGAGGCTTCAAAACAGCATGTTATGGCAGTTAAGTAACAAGTGACAGGAAGAACCAAATTGCATAACTAGAATGCTGAAAAGGAAGACTGAGCTTCCCAGAGGAATAGTACAGAAAATAACCAAGGGTTTATACCTTATGAACTTATGTGCTGCTTGTACATGCATATAGGAGAGAAGTGGTTATTAAAGCTACTCAGCACATTGCAGTTAGCGCCACTGCTGCCAAGAAGAGACAGTTTTGTCTCGAGTATGCCACAACAAACCACTTACAGATAAGCCAAACAAAGTATTACATCCCAGAGGACATAGCCCTTACCTTTTTTGAAGGGATATAAGCTCAAAAGAAAAAGGCACTAGAGTTTTTGTTTTTTTTTCCTTAAAAATGCTGGCTTTGTAATTGTACCCCTTTTATTCTAAACTCACTGGTAACACTAGTTTGGTAATGCTGGACATATTAAATGAAACCCAGTTCTGATCAGAATACCTCTGCCAAACTGTAGAATTAATACTGTTTTAAGATTTTGTGGTATCCTCACTGACTACAGCCCAAAGCATCAAAGCAAGATGACATTTCCAGATCTTGCACTCATATTGAGAACAGCCAGGTTCCCAGTTTGGTACACCTGCACTCTGCCTTTGGTACACCTGCCCAGCCTTCCTCCAATCACAGCTTCCTGTTCCAGACACAACCAGCAGAGAGGCTCAGGCACAAGTAACTGTGCCACCTTCCACGTGGCAACCATTTTTTATTCATTTAGTTAAATATCACCAGGATGAAATGGGCATAATAGTATTTTTCTAATCCTCCTTCAGCATCTTTCCCTTAATCAATAGATCATACTAGAATAGTACTGTGGGTTGGGCATTTGTATTTCCCACTGTGTTACATTCCAGCTGGTGCCCAGCTCCAGCAGCACTCCAGGCAGCAGCTGTCAGAGATCCTTCCCAAGGTGCACTGACTGCTCTTCTACCTGTCAGTAAACTCAGATTCAATGTGCCTGGGCTGATATGTTTCCAGATATGTGCAATTAGAACCCTACAGTGGCTGGAGTAAGCACTCCAAATTTAGGAGCGAGCACTTTGTGCATTTTGACCATATCTGCATCAATGGCTACTTTTGTTTTTAAAGACCAATCACACCCCATTTGAGAGTCTTGCTCCATTTCCATGACTTCCCAATGAAATTCAGGAGGCAGCTACACCTCCTCAGCCACTATGAGCTCAGCAGTTAAGATCCCAAAGGAAGAGGAGCAGGCTCCCCCACCAAGGAAAGACAGTGATTTTGCTGCCTGAGGCTCTCAACTTCTGCCAAACACCTCAGTGCCTATTCTCCCAAATGCCACTTCTGGCCCAAATCAAGTACCTCCCTGTAGCTGACCCCTCCTCTGGAGCAGAACACCAGCAGCTGCTGGGGATTCCTGACACTCCAGTACCAAGCAGGAAATGTCAACTCTTCAGAGGAGTCTGTTTCAGGAAACTCGGGTCAAAACAATGCCCAGATCAGCTGGGAGCTCTTCAAGAACCCCCCTCCACATCACAAGTCCCTGAAGGCATCTCACCCACCACGTTTCCTTCCTTCCTTCCACTCCCTGCCATGGCTCACCCCTGCTGTATTCTCTACAGGAACTCTCATCCCAGTGTCCCCATGCCTCGGCTGTAGCTACTAAGGAGAATGTTCCAAAAGCTTAGCAATGGTCACAAAAGTCCCTGCTCACCTGCTCCTGAATACAGGACTTTTGTAAGCTTCACTTTGCTGCCAGCATTATGCAAAAAAAACCCAAACAAAACAAAGGGTGAAGAAAGTTTCCAGCAAATGAAACTATCTCCTACCTTCAAAGAAAAGCAAGGATTACACTGATATTTATCCAATAGTATGGACTAAAGCAACTACTCTGGGACTACTGGACTTCAGTAAGTTCACATGAAAAAATCTGTTCTAAGAATGTACCAAAAGCAGTGAAATCCAATGTAGAAGTTTCACAATTAAGTATTTTCCATGATCCAAAGCAAAAGTCTGTTTATACCACCATGGATCATGATGACTGTGAAGTTTATGTATTTGCTCTTTTGTGTTTTTAAGCGACATGGTTTCTGTATCTTTGGGGAGGGAAGGAAAAAATAACGGAGTCCTTGAGGCTGTAACGGGCCTCTGCTGTGTTTTTTCAGATCAGCTGAATTTCATGAAGCATCCCTGGATATCCAACCACTTTCTGTCAGAAAGTTTAAAATCCTTTTCTTCAGTACCTTATCTAAGTAACTGGGAAGGCGACTCTTTGAAGGAATCCCTTGTCTTTTTTGGAGGTGGTCTTTAATGATGATAGTTTTTACAGTCACATAACGTGCAGGACTCAAGTTCAGAGAGCTGCAGAGCACCTTTTCCCTGTCTGATAAGAGTTCAAAGCCAGGCAGGTTTTCAATGGCAGCAAATTCACCTTCTTTACCCTCTTCCTTCCCTCTCTTGGAACTAGCTATGTTCTTGTTCTCCTTCCTCTTTTCCCGTTTGTGCCGGGCCGCCTCGTACTCTGCCGACTCCTCCATTTTGGTGATCCCATTTCGCCGATACCGCTGCAGCTCCCGAATCTTCGCTCGAAGTATCCTCTCCTTGTGCATGTTCTCAAAGAAGTCTTCAAACTCCTTACAAGACATGAACTGGTACAAAGGCCTCAGTTTTAGCCTCAACTCCTTCTCTTCTTTTGTGATTTTTCGTTTGGGAGCTTTCTCCTTGTCTTTTTTATCCTTCCCCAGGAAGGCCGGTACCAAATTATAATCTCGCGCAATGTTCTTCCGCCGCTGCCTCTCCTTGAGTTTCCTGACGTACATGTCCACGTGAGCTCTTTTCAGCTCGATTTCCACGTCGTCGTCGTCGTAGTTGACCGAGAGGCCGCTGATGAGCGTCTCGGCGTCCTGGTCGTACTCGATCTCGTAGTCGTCGCGCAGCGGCATGTACCCCAGCTGCTGCTGCTCCGCCACCGAGATGTCCAGCGGCGGCAGCGGCGTCGTCAGGCTGGGCGACAGCGGGCCGCCGCTGGGACACGTGTGGTCCGTCACCCTGTTGGGAATGGTGTCAGGGATGCAGGCCTTCCCCAGGTTGCCGTGGATATACATGCTCACGTAGTGCTCCATCACCTCCTGAGGGCTTCGGGATGCTCCCACGTGAGCAGCCATGTCCTCCTGAATAGAAAAAAAGGAGTGATAAAACGATGCCCATTACATCTCCAGCATAATGAGCACTCAGGAAACAGCATGAGTTTTTCCTTGCTCCTCAAATCCAGCTCCCAGTAGCTAAACTTCTCTAGCAACACCAGCCACATTTCTATCAGATCTGCAATTCCAGCTCTGGATGAGTGTTTACGATGGGTGCAAGTAAGCCACAAACCAGCACCACATGGTGATTCCTGAGCACCCACGGCACTCCCACAAAGCCAGCTCACCATAACCAGAAGGCTTCCAAGTCCCAACACCAACAGCACTGTATGGCTTGGGTTTTTGCTTGTTTATATCACATTACTGAGGAGCAACATGTAAATAAACAGTCTTTTCTGTAAGAGTAACCATTTTTATTCCTTTCTAGTTACTTAAGAACTAAGCAAGCTGCAATGATTGTACAATTTAAGGTTTTGAAAATG